AAAATATGGGGCCCGGAATCGAATTCCGAGGTTCCAAGCCCGAGAAATAAATTTTTAAAGGAAATTGTTTTTTGAAATTTTTTAAGGAAATTTGAAATGAAATTTGATTGGAACATGTTAGTATCGGGCCCGTATTTTAGTTCCGGTGCCCGGTACAGGTCTTATATACGATTTAAGATGTTTCTGTAAAATTTGATAAAAACGGATATCATTTGACGTGATTCGGACTTAAATTGCTAAAGTTGATAGTTGATGAAGTTTGAGAAAAATCCTTTGATTTTGAGGTTTAATTCGTTGTTATTGAGGTTATTTTGGCGATTTGATCGCACGGATAAGTTTGTATGATGTTGTTGAGTTAGTACGTGTGTTTGGTTAGGAGCCCCGAGGGCTCGGGTGTGTTTGGGATGTGTTTCGGGAAGTTTTGAACTTGAGAAAAATTGCAGATTTCTGCTGTCAGTGCCCAGGGATTTTACCCTTCGCGTTCGCGTGCACCCAATCGCGAACGCGTAAGGCAAAAATCCCAGGTGCCCATATTCTTCTTCGTGAACGCGAAGGTTGAGACGCGAACGCAAAGTTGAGGGGGGAGACCCTTTGCGAACGCGTCCCTCCTCTCGCGAACGCGTAAGGTTGAGGGGAGGGGTCACCAGCTTATTCATCGCGAACGCGACCAATGGTCCGCGAACGAGTAGGCTTGAGGAGCCAAGCTCCGCGAACGCGAGCCACATTCCGCGAACGCGAAGGCCAAGCAGGCCTAACCCATCGCGAATGCGAAGGGCATGTCGCGAACCCGAGGAACACTTTTGCCCAGTTATTTTAAAGTCTCAAAACAGAACCCATTACGGGATTTTTATAAAAATTCATAAACCCCTTCTTCTCCAAAACTCTTAGGCGATTTATGAAGCACTTCTTCACCATAACTTCTTGGGTAAGTAATCTTTAACTTGCTTTCTTCCATTTTCATCAACATCTATTAGATTTCTAGGCCTAAAACATGTGATTAAAGGTAGGAAATTAGGGATTTGGGTAGAATTAGGGCTTTTTGATTAATTACGATTTAGACCTCGTTTTGGGATCGAATTCTGAAAATAATTATATATTTGGGCTCGTGGGTGAATGGGTGATTTGATTTTGGTCCGAACCTCGTGTTTTGACCAAGCGGGCCCGGGGTCGGTTTTTGGGTTTTTGGGAACAATGCCTAGAAAGCTATAATTAGCCTTTGGAATTGAATTGTTTAGCATTTATTGATGTTATTAAATCGATTATGCATAGATACGATTGTGTTGGAGCCAAATTCGAAAGGAAAGGCGGCTTTTGAGGATTGAGTTGGCCGTGGAAGTTTGAGGTAAGTGTTCGGTCTAACCTTAGCTTGAGGGATTAGGAGTTGAGTCATATTTGCTACTTGTTTCTTGTTGAGTACGGCGTATAGGCATGGTGACGAGTATCTATACGTTGGTGTCGAGCATGACCGTGAATCTTAAATTGATACTTGTTGTATTTTTGAATGATACTATGGTTGCGATAGTGAGTAAATCTGTGGTATTGAGCAAAGACTTAGTTTATTTCCGGGGAAGTTACTTATGATTTAGAAATGATGATAACTGAATGATTAGGAGTAGTTGAGATTGGTTATAGCTAATTCTCCCTTGCCGGGACGTATGTACTTGTACTGTTGAGTTCCCTTGCCGGGATAGTATAATTTATGGTTAATCCCTTGCCGGGACTGTTGTTATGATCATTGTAAGCTGTATATTTGGAACGGGTTGCACGCCGCAACATTCTCATATATATATATATATATATATATATATGTGGATCGGGTCGCACGCCGCAACAAATATTATATTGGATCGGGTTGCACGCCGCAACAGCTATTATACTGGATCGGGTTGTACGCCGCAATAATTATTATATTGGATCGGGTTGCACGCCGCAACAGCTATATATATGGGTCGGGTTGCACGCCGCGACAGTGTTGAATGATAAGGGATCAGGTTGCGCGCCACAACAGCAGTGTTATTGTATTGTTGTAGATACTGTACTGTTCTTTCATATATCTATTTGGTTTCTGCTAGGTTGATACTGTTTCCTCCGAGCATGTACCCCCTCCCTTTTAAACTGCTTATTACCTGTTTATTTTTCCGCCGTATATTATATAACTGCACAGGTTTATCTGGAGTCTGGTTCTAGCCTCGTCACTACCTCGCCGGGGTTAGGCCAGACACTTACCAGCACATGGGGTCGGTTGTGCTGATACTACACTCTGCACTGTGTGCAGATCCCGGAGCAGCATTTGGTGCGCAGCAGTAGCTCGGGAGCCAGCCTTCAGTCCACCGAGACACCGAGGAAGCCTTGCAGGCGTCCGCAGGCCTGGCGTCTCCTCTATCTTATATTTTGTTCTGTTATCTCATGTATTCGAGACAAACAGTGTTATATTTCCTTCAAACGGTTGTATTTAGTACTCTTAGTAGTCCGTGGATGATGTGACACCGGGTTCTGGTTAGAGGCATGTGTTGGTTTCGGGATATTTTGGTTTTACATTTACTTAAGACTTCTGCTAAATTTCATATTCCGCTGTTATTTAACTGTTTACTTCTTGTTAATATAATTGGTAAGAGGATTTAAAACAAAAGTGTTTAAGGATTTCTGAATGTGTGGCTTGCCTAGCTTCTACGAGTAGGCACCATTACGACTCCCGAGGGTGGAAAATTCCGGGTCGTGACAGATCCGCACTGAGGTCCGCGAAATTTTAGTGCGGTCCGCACTCTCCTCTGCGGTCCGCATAAATTTGGTGTGGTCCGCACTCCCAAAAGTGCCAGAACCATCTCAGAGTACCGAAATTCCCGGACTTGCTCAAAATTCACCCCAAAACTCATCCGAGGCCCCCGGAACCTCAACCAAATGTACCAACACATCCCATAACATCATACGAACTTAGCCCCACTTTCAAATCACTTCAAACATCGCTTAGACCACGAATTAGATGCCCAAACGCACGAAAATTACTATGAAATTCAAGAACCTCTAGAATTGCAACCAAGCATCCGAACCATATCAAATCAACTCCAAACGACACCAAATTTTGCAGGCAAGTCCCAAATAACATAACGAAGCTGTTACAACTTTCAGAATCGCATTCCGACCTTGATAACATAAAAGTCAACTATGGGTCAAACCTCTCCATTTTCCAAACTTCAACTTTTTCAACTTTCACCAAAATACCTCAAATTACCCTAGGGGCCTCCAAACCCAAATCCGAACACACGCCCAAGTCCAAAATCACCATACGAGGCTACTGACATCATCCAAAACTCATTCCATAGCCGTTTACGCAAAAGTCAAAATTCTGGTCAATTTCTCTCCGCTTAAGCTTCCAGGACTATATTCCTTCTTTCGAATTCGACTCCGATTCATCCGAAAACTGAATCCAACCCTGCACACAAGTCGATATACATAATGTGAAGCTGCTCTTGAACTCAAACTGCCGAACCGGATGCAATTGTTCAAAACGACCAGTCGGGTCGTTACAAAATATCGTCAAAATTACGACATTTGATACAAAATGTCATAAAAATAATGACATTTGATATTAAATGTTGTAAAAAAATGATATTTGATACAAAATATCGTAAAAACAACAACATTCATGAAGAAATATCGTAAAAACTACAACATTTGAGACTAAATGTTGTAAAGAAATAACATTTGATATAAGATGTCAATAAAACAACGACAATTGATACAAATACAAAAAACAAATAATGATATTTGATACAAAATATAGTAAAAACACGATGTTTTGAACAAAATATCGTAAAAGTTATGACATTTGATACAAATGTCAAAAAGAAAAATGAGTTTTACTTTAAATGTCATATTATCAGTCGGTCTTTACGAACATGTACATCTAATGTTGATTTTTTTTTTGTATTTATTAATTGTTAAATAATTCTTTGTCTATAATCAAAACATCATTATTTATATTATTATATTTTATATTGTGATATTTATCTTCCGGATAGACGAGTTATGTGATTGTCGATTAATGTCTTAAAAGTCTTTCTGGGACTCGTCCAAGACTCACTCTTGGACGAGGCACTTGCTGCGACGGCTCATGTGTGAGGCTTAGTTTTGTGAGGCCTTACACCCCAAATGTCTAATTGTGCATCCTTAACACGCCTATTCTCAGCGTCGGGAGTTAATAAGTAAATCATATGTTAAATTTTCTAATTAGTAATTGATCCTCAAAATAATTTAACAAATGAATGATAAAAATTCTATTCATATATATAATATGAAAATTGAGATTAACTAAAATATCGAGTCATAGTATTGCATATTTACTATTTGAGTGAGAACATCATGAAGGTGAATACCATTTGAATATTTCTTCTCAAAATGAATAGTCGAAATTTATGTCTTTACTTGCTATTGCTCTTTATTTCTTAGCTTCATGTCTCCCAAAATTATGAGACTTTTATTCTTTTACCATAATTGTACTTAATTATGAAGGAGTAATATTTTAAATTATAGTACTTATAAAGTTTATTGATTATTTACTTTTTGAGAGGTAATTTAATGTGTATTTTGTTAATACTTTTTCAAAAAATTTAATATTTTAAATATTTGAAAGTTCAAACATTATAGTTGATCTGTATCTCATAATAAATTTAATACTATTGTATTATTGATACTTATAAAAATATTCTAAATATTTTATTTTTCTGTGAGTTTCTGTAATCTTTTTTAATTTTTTAATGTACTTTCTATATTATTTATTATGTTATTTTTATAATTTAAAGATTCCCCTATTAAGTAAAATGTTAATCCTTCTAAAATAATGTTGCCGATTTAAAAAAATATGACTAAAATTTCAATGTTCCATAAAAAATGTTATTGCTACTACTTATTAGATGTTGAATTTAAAGATAAAAATATAAAATTAACCTATATGTAGGACCGAGGAAACCTATATTTATAATTAACCACAATTTCCAACTAAAGGTCCAAAGATTAGCCATTCCTAGGGCTCCTTTGTTAGAAGCACTTTCAAATCGGTTCAATCCAATTTTAGTCAAATTTCATCTTTGTCTCTGAATATATTGCCCCACTACAAATTAGTGTTCTAAAAAAAGTTGTATGGATTGTATAGATTTAGAGGGAAAAGATTTTGGCGGCAAGAATTTCGGCTTCCCTCCTCCAAATTCTAAACAATAGAGTTTCCTTTATTAGTTATAATTCTTCAAAAGACCTAATTTTTGCCTTCCACTATGCTATCGCAGTTACTTTGAGAAGGAGAAGATTTTGGGGCTGAGGCTTTTGAAGGGTTTTATCTGTTTTCTTCAGGCCGCTAATTCTCCACAAGATAGTGCAAGTTCGAATATTTACAGGTACCCAGTTTAGGTAATAGTTTTGTTTATTTTTTGGGTTGTTCAGATGTTGTTTTTAAAAGAATTTGTGCATGTGAGATTCGAGTTTTTGCAGGTAACAAAAACAATGTTCTCGGAGCCTCCTCGCTAACTTCAATCAGATCGGATGGAAGTTAACAAATGGGTCTTCTTAAATGGTCCTACGCTCCTACCCCTTATAATAGTCTCGGAGCCTCGTTTTAATTTCTGTTTGATCAATTGAAGTATGATATCGAAAAAGTGAAAGTGAAAACAATTTGATCAATTGAAATATGAAATTGAAAAAGTGAAAGTGAAACTGTTCATTTGATCTTTTTCTACTAGCGAGTAACTTAATTTGTTGCTGTTCATAGAATTAATTATTGATCATTGGTGTGAGGTAGCGAACTTAGAATAAATTGGAAACTACTTGATTGCACCCATGTTTGCACCATTACAGTGATACACATATCAGTTTTAGCTAACAATTTTCTTTCTTTTTCGTAATTGTTTGGATTTTGTTAAACAGAATACAAGGAACATAAATTTTTATAGGCAACTTTAACTTGTCAGGGTCTGAGTCTCTGAGACATAGTTGACTAATCGACGGATGAAAGAAAGTTTTTTTGGGTAGATCTTTAATTTGTTTTGTCTTTGCCATATTTCAAATATGAAATTGTTGTGTTCTGAAAGTTCTCACTAGGTTTGTTCTTTCCTAATTATTTATGCTCCTTAAGTTTGCTTGCAAATTATGTTTCTACTTCAACTACTGTATAGAAAGAATGGTGCTGTTTGAAAATGATTAGATTAACATGATCTCAGTTAATGGTTCAATATAAAAGAGTCCTAAATTTTGTTCAATCAAATATCACTTTGATACTAGTTCTTTGGAAGTTTTATTCACTCAAGATGTTAATTTTGGTGTTCTATAGTTTGATTTTGCTTAATCGTAGCACGAAATCGCATTTTAGCTCCATTAAGTCATAAAGATTGGAGGCTTGTGCCTGATATGGGCTCATATTAAGGTGCATAAAAAAAGAAAAAAAATTACATACTAAGATGCTTATTGCTTTTATGCTTTTATATATATGTGTGTGTGTGTGTGTGTGTGTGTTATATGTTTATGTTTACAGGAAAATATTGGTGCAACTGAGGATATGAGATATATTTTGATGATATCAGTTGGGACTATAAATGGAAAGAAAGGAAGGACGAGGGAAAAAGAACCGGCCATAAGCCATACGGCAACGATAATAAGCTCTTAGCTAAACATCCAGACAGGGTAGAAAAGGATCAATGGCGTGCATTAGTTCATTATCGGAGCTCTAATGAAGCAAAGGTATTCTTGGAGCAGCAAGTATCTTTTTTTGTTGCCCTAACACATGCTATTAGCTCATTCCTTAGGCTGATCATACTTTTTCCTTTGTACTTTTTTATACTTTTCCTCAGTCATTATTCACACTTTTTCTTTTTCTTTTTTCTTTTTAAAATTGGTTTTTGATTTGATGTTTGGTAGGGAATTGACACTAATATATAAAATTGTGTCTTAATTTTCTAGGAAAAGAGCAAGAGGAACAAATAAAGCCAAACGAATCTGACTTTGCCACACACATCAGGAAGAAAAGTCATTTCCAAATTATAGATACGCATGCCATATTTGCCATCTGCTTTCTGTAATTTATATATCAATATTATTTTCTTGAATATTTTTTATACACCTTTTTCCTATTTAACCAGATGACAAAGAAGGATGGTGTAAAACCAAGTCGTATTGAAGTATTCACAAGAACACATATGAGAAAGAATGAACAACCAATAAATGAGATAGCTGGTGAAGTAATGGTAAATTCTTATTCTTTATATATATAAAGGTACTTTCATTCCATTACAAATTATAACTTTTCATTATTTTACTGTTCTTTTCAAAAAAAAAAAGAGAAAGAAATGAATTTACTTGCTAAGGTGTATCCTTGAGTTAAATGTCTCTGGAAGTGCTCCCAATAATGTGTATGCACAAGTTATGGGACCGGACACTCATTGGATTATTCGAATTCTAGGAAAAGGAGCAGCTCCAAGTTTTGTTTATGGCTCTGTATGTAAACAATCTCAGGCTGAGCAAAGGGATTTTGATAAAAGGGTTGAGGTAGAAGTTCAAAAAGCTACCTCTGCTGTAAAAACTTAGATGGAGGAAAGGTTGTCTGAAGCTACCTTAGCTATACTTGATAAAGTATCTTTCATAAAATAAAAATTATTATGAGGTTTTATCTTATTTTATATCTTGTATTCTATTTCACTTTTGTAAACTATCAAAGTAACCAATATAATATTTCTTCTCAGGTTAATACAATCAAGAAGACTGGATTTAGTGAAGTACGCATAAAAAAAATGGGTAAGTTTGAAAAATTCAAGATACTTTTTGTCTCTTTTCTTTTGCCTTATTTTCTTTCTTTCCTCTTTTCAGCTGCTGCTATTATATCCATTATATAGTATGTTTGTTTTTTAGAATCCCATTCTGTTGTTTTTTCGTATCCCAATTTGTTATAATCGAAGAGGAAAGAATTCCTTTTATTATATAGTTATAATTGTTTTTCAGTATGATTTTTTGTGCAGCATTTTGAAGGAGAATTACTGGCAATGAACCTTGACTAATGGAGAGGTGGTTTCAAAAAGCTTTGTTGCAGGATTTATTCTAGAAGTTAAGAGAATTCATTCGAAAGTGATAATAACGTAGTTACATGTTGAAATTACTGTCTTTTATGATTTAGTTGGATTTGAGTTTTACTTAGAGAACAAATCATTTGATTTGGCATCATCTATTTGTACAAAGTACTTTTTAGATTGCTAATTTATTTTTTAGTTATAGTATTAAAAGGCATTTGTTTTACATATATTTTATTTTGTTGAAGGTTGACATTTGTGGATGTACAAATTGAATATAAAACGTTATGATAAAAGTAAATAGAGGATTATTATTAATATCTTAAAATTTTTGGTACCGACATTAATCAAAATGTTGTAATTTTTTATACAACATTTTGAAAAGTTTTGAAAAAAGTCACTAATCGTTTTTGACATTTATGTAAATGTGAATACAACATTTTCATAAATGTCGTAAATTTTCTTACTAACATTTTTAAAGGTTAAAAGTAAATGTCGTAAATTTCTTACTGACATTTACCTAAATATCATAAAATAAATATCGTAACTTATCGACATTTACTTAAATGTCATAAACAACATGTCGTAAATTTTTTACCGACATTTACCTAAATGTCGAAAAATAAACGACATTGAAATTTACGATATTTGATGCAAATGTAAAATAAATGTCGATAAACGAATTTGCGACATTTAAGAAGCTTAACATGACATTTAACAAATGTCGTCGTATCCTCACTTTCTTGTAGTATGACTATCGCTCCTTAGGTCATTTTTAAGGGCCAACGAAATTTTAGGCGGTCCAGACTCGTTTGCCTGGGCCCATGCAGGAAGCGTAATTCCAATTTTATGGCCCTAAGACGCCAAACAACGATTAACGGTCATGGCGAGACAGTGACTATATTTTCTTAGGTCATTTTTGATGGGCCAGCAAAATTTTTGACTATCCAGGTCAGGGCGCCCGGGCCCATGCAAGAGGCGTTGGGCTATAGCACACGAAAATCTGGGAATCGAGGGGAATTCTAATAATTTTATAGCCCTAAAACGCCAAAAAACGAGTAATAGTCATGTAGAGGCAGTGACTATTGTTCCCTTAGATCATTTTTGATAGGCAGGAAAAATTTTAGTTGATCCAGATTCGGGCTCCCGTGCAGGAGGCACGGGCTAGAGCACACGAAAATCTGAAAATGAGGCGAATTCCAATTTTACGGCCCTAAAATGCAAAAATAAAATAAATGAGTAACGGTTATGGCGAGACGGTGACTTTTATTCCTTAGGTCATTTTTGATGGTCGACAAAAATTTTAGGCTATCCGGGTCCTGCGCCTGGGTACATGCAGGAGGCGTGGGCTATAGCGCACGAAAATCTGGGAATCAAGCAGAATTCCAGTTTTATGGCCTTAAAACACCAAAAAACGAGCATTGGTCATGGCGAGGCGGTGACTATTGTTCCTTCAGTCATTTTTTATGGTTTGGCAAAATTATAGGCGATCCCGGTCTGTTCGCCCGGGCCCACGCAGAAAGCATGGGCTAGCACACGAAAATCTGAGAATCAGGCGGAATTTCAATTTTGTAACCCTAGAACGCCCAAAAACGAGTAACGCTAATGGCGAGGCGGTGACTATTATTCTTAGGTTGTTTTTGTCGAGCCGACAAATTTTAGGCTATCTGAGTCCGGTTGCCGGGGCCCGTGCAAGAGGCGTAGGCTATAGCTAACAAAAATTTTGGAATCACGTAAAATTTCAGTTTTATGGCCCTGAAACGCCAAAAACGAGTAACAGTCGTGGCAAGGCTGTGACTATTGTTCCTCAGGTCATTTTTATGGGACAGTAAAATTTTAGGCGATCCGGGTCCGGGCGCCTGGGCCCATGTAGGAGGCGTGGGCTATAGCACACGAAAATTTGGGAATCGGGCGGATTTCCAGTTTTATGGCCCTAAAACGCTAAAACCGAGTAATGGTCATGGTTGGCGGTGGCTATTTTTTCTTAGGTCATTTTTGATGGGTCGACAAAGTTTTAGGTGATCCGGGACCGGTCGCCCAGGCCCATGTAGGAGGTGTGGGTTATAGCACACGAAAATCTGAGAATCGGGCGTAATTTCAGTTTTATGGCCCTAAAACGAGAAAAAATGAGTAACCGGCCTCGCTAGACGATGACTATTATTCTTTAGGTCATTTCTTATAGGCCGTAAAAATTTAAGGCTATCCGGGTCCGGTTACCCGAGTCCATGTAGGAGGCGTTGGCTGTAGCACGCGAAAATATGAGAATCCGGCGGAATTCCAATTTTGTGGCCCTAAAACGCCAAAAAATGAGTAACGGTCATGGCGAGGCAGTGACTATTATCCCTTAGGTCATATTTGATAGGCCGGCAAAATTTTAGGTGATCCGGGTCCGGTCGCCCCGATCCATGCAAGAGGCGTGGGCTATAGCACACGAAAATCTAAGAATCAGGCAAAATTCCAATTTTACAACCCTAAACACCAAAAAACGAGTAACGATCCAGAAGATGTGGTGAATAATAATACTTAGGTCGTATTTGATAGGCCGACAAAATTTTAGGCTATCCGTGTCGAGACGCCTAGGCACAAACAGGAGGCGTGGGCAATAGCAGAAGAAAATTTGGGAATCGAACGAAATTTCAGTTTTATGACCCTAAAACGCCAAAACACGAGTAACGGTCATGGCGAGGCGGTTACTATTGTTCCTAAGGTCGTCTTTGATAGGCCGAAAAAACTTTTGGTGATCCGGATACGGTCGCCCGGGCCTATGCAGGAGGCGTGGACTATAGACCATGAAAATTTGGGAATCAGGCAAAATCTCAATTTTATGGCCCTAAAACGCCAAGAAAAGAGTAATGGTCATGGCGAGGCGGTGACTATTGTTCCTTAGGTCATTTTTGATAAGCCGAAAAAATATTAGGCGATCCGGGTTCAATCGCTCTAGCCCATGCAGGAGGTGTGGGCTATGGCATACGTAAAGCTGGGTCGAGCAGAATTTCAGTTTTATGGCCCTAAAACACCAAAAAGCGAGTAACGATCATGGAAAGGTTGTGACTATTGTTCCTTAGGTCATTTTTTATGGGCCGGCAAAATTTTAGATGATTCGGGTCTGGTTGCCCGGGCCCATGTAGGAGGCGTGAACTATAGCCCACAAAAATCTTAGAAGCGGGCGGAATTCCAGTACATGCCATCAGCATGAATCCGGGCATAAAATATGACGTAATGAACAATAGTCATATCTTCAGCATAACCGTTCCTCATTTTTTGGCATTTTAGGCCAAAAAAATAGAATCCTGGTCAATTTCCAAATTTTCATGTGCTATAGTCTACGCCATCTCCATGAATCCGGGCTACCGAATCCGAATCTCCTAATATTTTTGGGGGCCATAATAAATAACCTATTGAACAATAGTTATGGCTTCAGCATGATCGTTCCTCTTTTTTCGGCATTTTATGACCAGAAAATTGAATCGTCTAAAATTAAGCGGGGCCACCAAAATTGACCTAATGAACAACAATCATGGCTTCGACAAGACCGTTCCTCATTTTTTATATTTAGGGCAAAAAAACTAAAATTCTGGCCGAATTTCAAAATTTCATGTGCAATAATACACGCATTCTGCATGAACTCGGGCTATCGGATCCGAATTGCCTAAAATTTTACAGGTCCATAAAAATGAACTAATGAACAATAGGCATGGCTTCGGCAAGATCATTCCTCATTTTTTGGCATTTTAAGGCCAAACGATGAAATTCGTGCTAATTTTTAAATTTTCGTATGCTATAGTTCACGCCATCTGCATGAATTCGGGCTACCGGATCCGAATTGCCTAAAATTTTACGGTACCATAAAAAATAAACTAATGAACAATAGTCGTGGCTTTGGCATGACTGTTCCTCATTTTTTGGCATTTTAGGGCAAATTTGGAATTCGGGCCGACTTGCAAATTTTCGTGTGCTATAAGTTTATGCTATCTGTAAGAATCCGGGCTAACGGATCTGAATCGCCTAAAGTTTTGCGGTACCATAAAAAATGACCTAATGAAAAATAGTCATGGCCTCACATGACTGCTTCTCGTTTGTCACGACCCTGGATTCCCACCCTCGGGAGTCGTGATGGCGCCTACTAATACGAGCTAGGCAAGCCAATTAATTGCACAATTTACCTTTTTACCCATTTTATATTCATTAACAATTTCGGAATAATAACATTTAAACAGCGAAATTTAACATAAGCGGAAGAAGGAAACAATAAGCTATCTGAACATGAATATCTAATACAACTATTTGAGTCTCGACTACCCAGAACTGGTATCACAGTTTCACAGACGGTCTAAGTATACTACAAATAAAGGGTCTGAATGAAACGAATACAACACTGTTTCTAGAAATGCATGAAAGAAACAGGGATAGAAGATAGAGGGAGACGCCAAGGCCCGCAGGACTACCTCGGGTCGCCTGACGATCATGAATCAGCAATCTCACTGCGGTACGAAGTCCACAACGCTGAGGTCTGCACAAAAGAGTGCAGAGTGTAGTATCAGCACAACCGACCCCATGTGCTGGTAAGTGCCTAGCCTAACCTCGGCGAAGTAGTGACGAGGCTAGGACCAGACTACCAAATAAACCTGTGCAGTTCAAATATATATAGCGAAAAAGAAATACAGAAATAAACAAGTAAAGATGGGAGGGGGGAACATGCTTCGGGGAAAACAGGTAAAAACAGAATATAAATAGAATATAAAGGAATCAAAAATCCAACCACTAACAAGAATAAAGAAAAACAAAGGCAGATTTCACTTACTTTTCACATCTTGTTGCAGGCGTGCAACCCGATCCCATTTCTCATATCTTGCGGTAGGCGTACCACCCACTCCCATTTCATTATATCTTGTGGTAGGCGTACCACCCGCTCCCATTTTATTATATCTTGTGGTAGGCGTACCACCCGCTCCCATTTCTCATATCTTGTGGTAGGCGTACCACCCGCTCCCATTTCATTATATCTTGTGGTAGGCGTACCACCCGCTCCCATTTATTATATCTTGTGGTAGGCGTACCACCCGCTCCCATTTCATTATATCTTGTGGTAGGCGTACCACCCGCTCCCATTTTATTATATCTTGTGGTAGGCGTACCACCCGCTCCCATTTCATTATATCTTGTGGTAGGCGTACCACCGGCTCCCATTTATAACCAACAATAATCACAAGGAATCCCGGCAAGGGA